GAAGGGGAGAGAGAGAGAGAAGAGAGAGAGCACATCAGTCCAAAGCGGCAGGCAGACGCCGCCGCGCAAACTCGACGCCAACAACTCTGCAACTCGACAACTTCCCCGCGCGACTCCAAAGTTGAAACTGTTTCCAAATGATCTGCCGCGGCTACGCTGCTCTGTGAGGCCTCAGGGTCAGCACTAAGATAAAAAAAAATCACAGCAAACAACGCAATTTTCAAAAATCTTCGTTTCTTTTTAGAAAAATTTATTTTGGCTGGATTTAAATAAAGTAACAATTATTGTTTGCGACTTTGCTCTGGCAACTCAAGTGTGATACAGTCCAACAGTTAGAAGTGCAATAATACTAGTATCATAGTTAAAACTGTAGTACCATACATGTATCACACTGCACACTGCAAATCCTGGAGTGAGATTTCTGACCTAAAAAGAGCGAGAGTTTTTCTCCTTGCTCATAGTGATGATTTGGAATAACCTCGCTCTTATTGAGAATGATTATTAAATCTCACTCAAATCAAGAGAGATTAACTTCAGAAATCCCCACTCAAAAAGAGCGATGTTTTCCTATTATCATACCCAAATAAGGCGACATTTCTTAATCTATTATTGCTCTAATCGAGCGAGGAAATCAAACCTCGCCCTCCAGAGGGCGAGAATCCTCGCCCTAGGATTTCTAGTGCAGTACCACACATGTATCATACTAAAAGTGTAGTACCACAATTCCCTCTTAAGCGAGCTATATGTGTGGTACTACCAGTTGGATGTACAGTTTATGATGGATATTTTATGCTTTTATGCACATCATGTTTAGGCTACATTGCTACGTAAGTATTGCCACGTTCAGTGAGGTGGCGCAATTCAAACGTGGTGCTGATACCCTTGATACGATATATACAATGGGTCTGTTTATACTGAAACTAGAAGACAGCGAAAGAATTCTTGAAAGTCACGTACTGTCGCTCTCGCTCTCTCTCCTCCGCTCCGCTCCATACAGACGCGACGTGTTTTGTAAAAGAGGTATAAACACCGTAGGGGGCCTCGAGGGGGGCATGAAGGGAGCGAAGCAGGAGTGGGAAGCAGGAGGAAGGGCAAGAGGGGAGGGGAGGAGGGGAAGGGTAAGGGGGGGGGTCGTCCCCTAATTGCTCCGGTTTGTCGAGGGGTGCGACGACTATCTGATCCGCTAATCACTGCTGGCGCGGCTGGCTCGCGCA